AATAGTAAAATCTATTACTATAGCTAGATATAATTTTAGATACTTTTCTTATCTATATATATTTATAATAGCTAGTATAGGGTCTAATATAATATAATATATATAGTAATTATTTAGATCCTATTCTTATACTACTTTACTATATACTAACTATATTAGACTAGTAACTCTATAATATCCTATACTACGCGCGTGATACTACTTATAGGGTCCTCTAGCTTAGGATTAGAAGTAGCTACTACTACAAGCAGGTCTGGAATATATATATTAGCTAAATACTAGGCCTAGTAAATTATATATAACTATAGATTAGTATCCTAAAGCTCTCTAGCCTAAATAACTTAAATAGCTACCTCCTACTTATCTACTACTACCTATACCTTAATCTCCATGACTAGCTGCTTATAAATAGTAATTAGGATAAGTTACTCCTTAGGCTAGAGATTATATAATAAGATATATATTAAATAAGAGTTTTTCTAGCTAGGGAATACTTATTACTAGATAACTAGGTAGAATAATTACTAAAGCTAGATCTATTATTTTTCCTACTCCTAGGCAGGAATCCCTCTATAAAACTAGTACTAGATCTAATTATATACTTCTTTTTAATAATTTTATATAAATTTAATACTAGTAATAATATATATATATTACTCTAGTCCCTTATTATAGCTATACTAGTATAATAGCCTGTTAATATAAATAGGAATAATAAGAACTAGCATGTCTAGTATATAGAGAATATATAAATTATCTAGCTACTAGATAATTCTTACCTAGCTAGCTACTATCTAAGTAATAGGTTAACTATTCTATAGCTTAAGGAAATACTTCTTCTATAAGTATATTATAACCTCCTTAGGATAAATACTATACTAGTACTAGTAATATATAATAATTTATAATATAAGAATCTTCTTAAATAGCTAGTATTTTATAATAAAATATAGATAAGTAGTAGCTAGATATAGATAAAAATATAATATTAGATAGGAAAATTAATAGAAATATTTAAAAAAATTAAAATTTAACTAGGCTTTTTAACTAGACTAGCCCTTAATTATTTAATTTATTAATATAACTAATCTATTATTATTATATATAGCTATCTAAGTCTATCCCCTACTAAATCTTTAATAAAACCCTAACTAACTTTAATATATTATTATATATTTACCTAATACCTACAGGCTCTAAAACTTAAGAATCTATAATTTAAGTAGCTAATCTATATCTAGTAAAAATTTAAGCTATAACATGCAATAGGTTTAATAGGCACCTTACTCCTGAAAATTAAGCTACCCTATAATAAGCTGACCAATCAGTGCTGGTCCTCCACAAAACCCTAGAGCCACCCTAGTAGCCTTCCTCAACCCTTGTGGGATAGGACTATACTAGGATTCTTATATAATTATTTATTATAATTACTACTATATTTTTTATTACTAGGTAATTATAATATATTATAGCTATTATTTCTATAACTAGTCTATTTATATATAAATAATAAATAGTAAAATTTATTACTATAATTAAATATAATTTTAAATATTCTTTTTATCTATATATATTTATAATAGCTAGTATAGGGTCTAATATAATATAATATATATAATAATTATTTAGATTCTATTTCTATACTATTTTACTATATACTAGCTATATTAGGCTAGTAACTTTATAGTATCCCATACTATATATATAGTATTACTTATGGGGTCCTCTAGCTTAAGATTAGGAGTAGTTACTACTATAAGTAGGTCTAGAATATATATATTAACTAAATACCAGGCCTAGTAAATTATATATAATTATAAATTAGTATTCTAGAACTTCTTAATCTAGATAACTTAGATAGCTACCTCTTACTTATCTATTACTACTTATATCTTGATCTCTATAACTAGCTATTTATAGGTAATAATTAAGATAAGTTACTCCTTAAGTTAGAGATTATATAATAGAATATATACTAAATAAGAGTTTTTCTAGCTAGAGAATACTTGCTACTAGATAACTAGATAAAATAATTATTAAAGCTAGATTTACTACTTCTCTTACTCTTAAGTAGGAATCTTTCTATAAAATTAGTACTAGATCTAATTATATACTTCTTTCTAGTAATTTTATATAAATTTAATACTAGTAATAATATATATATATTACTCTAGTCCCTTATTATAGCTATACTAGTATAATAGCCTGTTAATATAAATAAAAATAATAAGAACTAGTATATCTAGTATATAAGAAATATATAAATTATCTAGTTATTAAATAATCTTTATCTAGCTAGCTATTACTTAAGTAATAGATTAATTATTCTATAATTTAAGAAAATATTTCTTTTATAGGTATATTATAACCTCCTTAAAATAAATATTATACTAGTACTAGTAATATATAATAATTTATAGTATAAAGATTTTCTTAAATAATTAGTATTTTATAATAAAATATAGATAGATAGTAGCTAGGTATAGATAAAAATATAATATTAAATAAGAAAATTAATAGAAATATTTAAAAGAATTAAAATTTAATTAAGTTTTTTAATTAAACTAGTCCCTAATTATTTAATTTACTAGTATAATTAATCTATTACTACTATATATAGCTATTTAAGTCTATCCCCTACTAAATTTTTAATAAAATTCTAATTAATTTTAATATATTATTATATATTTACCTAATATTTATAAGCTCTAAAACTTAGGAATCTATAATTTAAGTAGCCAATCTATATCTAGTAAAAATTTAAGCTATAACATGCAATAGATTCAACAGGCACTCTACTCCTAAAAATTGAGCCACCCTATAATAAGCCAACCAATCAGTGCTGGTCCTCTGCAAAACCCTAGAGCCACCCTAGTAGCCTTCCTCAACCCTTGTGGGATAGTTGCTGCCTAGTAAATAAGGCACCTATATGGTTGCCTGACCCATCTAGTTGACCCTAGGGTATTAGGGTTACCTAAATAGGTCTAGACTACCCATAGCTTGGCATACCCCAACAAAAAAAACCTACTTTTTTTATTTTAACTTTCTACCTTCCTAAATAGGAAATTACAAATTTTTTTTTTATATTATTAAAATTTAATTAGTTAGCTTTCTAAATATCTAATTTTTATTTAAAAAGACCTATAATTGGTAATTTTAGACCCAGGGTCTGTGTTAGACCCAGACCCTCCCCCCTGGAGACCCTAAAATTTTGCGCAGACCCTGGGGAGGGTCTGTGATAGAATAATATTAGTGGCCTGAAAAATAAGGCATCAACAGTTGCTGCCTAGTAAATAAGGCACCCATATGGTTGCCTGACCCATCTAGTTAACCCTAGGGTATTAGGGTTACCTAAATAGGTCTAGACTACCCGCAGCTTGGCATACCCCATCAAAAAAAACCTGTTTTTTTATTTTGACTTTCTACCTTCTAAATTAGGAAATTTTTGATTTTTTTTTAAATATTATTAAAGTTTAATTAATTAGCTTTCTAAATATCTAATCTTTATTAAAAAAGACCTAATATTAGTAATTTTAGACCCAGGGTCTGTATTAGACCCAGACCCTCCCCCCTGGAGACCCTAAAATTTTGCGCAGACCCTGGGGAGGGTCTGTGACAGAATAATATTAGGGTTAAGCAGGTTATGCAGTTACTAGTTGCTATAGTATTTAGTACTACCACCCTATCTAGCCCTATTTAGCAGGTGGTGATAGATATATTTAAATTATGTTAATTTTTTAGGGTTATTCCAAGCATCCAGGATAACCTAACCCTAAAAAATATAGAATATAAGATTATTAAAATTCTAAAAACTCTAAACCCTACTAAAACCCCTAGTTTTTTACTAGACTTTATTTACTACTTTAAAGTAACCTACTATAACTAGTTACCTTAGGCAGCTACTATTATTATCTTCTTTCTATCTAAAAGTAGCCTGAGGCAGTTTTATAAGATATTTAGGATTAAAATTCCAGCCCTAGCTTATTTCTATAGGGATATATCAGATATAATAAAGCTAGCAGAATTAGCTAAATTCAAAAGTAGTAAAGCACGGATCCTACTAGTAACCTCTAGAATAGGGGCTGGATTTGACTTTAATTATATAAATCTAATTATTTACTACTAGAGATCATATTTATTCTTAGATTTTATATAAGAATCTGGGCAGGCTAGGTAGAATCCTAGATAGTTAGCATGGTCATATTACCTAGTTTGGTCATATAATAGGTAGAATCAAGTAAATAACTTAGCTAACTGCCTGGAGTTTTAGAAATATTTAAATAAGTAAATATATTACTAGTAGCTAATCTCTAAGAACTTTGCCCTTAGTCTTATTAAGTTATATAATCCTAGCTAGGCCTAATATAATCTATATTAGTCATGTAATAGCTAGTCTAACCCTATTTAGCAGGCAGTCAAGTAATATTATTAAACAGCTACCCAGTAAATTAAATTCCTAGGAAGAGTAGTTAAATTATAGTAGGAAAGTTACTATCTAGTTTACTTTTTAAAATAGGATAGTAAGTTTTTATTTCTTTATTTATTTTTTTTCTAATTAGGAAGTTTATTTACTAATTTAAACTTTAGAATCTAAATTACTAGATCCTTCTATATTTACTAAGATTTTTACCCATTTATTTGAAAATTGCCCTGAAAATACTACTTAGGTAATTTAACTTGAGTAATTTAGGGCTTCTTTAGGTAACTTTATTCTAGATACATGCTATTTTAGGTATTTTCTACCTACTAAGATTTATAAGGGTCCTAATGAAAGTAATAAAGGTCTTACATGCCTAGTACCTGACCTAGTTGCATTATTATGGATCTTAACAAAGTAGAATTTAGATTAAATTCATACAAACCCTACTAAATATTAGAAGGTTAAAATTCTGCCTGAAAATCTAGGCAATTAAACCTTCCTAAAATAGAAATAGGATCTAGATACTAAAATTACTGAAGGAGCCCTTTATTTCTACTACTTTTTTCTAAATATATTTAAATTACAGCCTAAAATTATATAGGGCCTTAATATAGTTTAGATTTATTTTATTTATTTTATTTATTTTATTTATTTTATTTATTTTATTTATTTGATTTATTTTATTTATTTTATTTATTTTATTTATTTTATTTATTTTATTTATTTTATTTATTTGATTTATTTTATTTATTTTATTTATTTTATTTATTTTATTTATTTTATTTATTTTATTTATTTTATTTATTTTATTTATTTTATTTATTTTATTTATTTTATTTATTTTATTTATTTTATTTATTTTATTTTATATTTCTATACTAGCTACTATTGATATTTGAATTTTAAAAAATGTGGCCTGAAAAATAAGGCATTAATAGTTGCTGCCTAGTAAATAAGGCACCTATATGGTTGCCTGACCCATCTAGTTAACCCTAGGGTATTAGGGCTACCTAAATAGGTCTAGACTACCCGCAGCTTGGCATACCCCATCAAAAAAAACCTATTTTTTTCTTTTGACTTTCTACCTTCCTAATTAGGGAATTTTCGATTTTTTTTTAAATATTATAAAATTCTACTTCATTAGCTATCTAGGTATCTAATTTTTATTAAAAAAGACCTAGAATTCATGATTTTAGGGGGGGGTATCGTATCAAACCCAATACCCCCCCCCTAGAAACCCTAAATTTTTGCAGAGTACCCCCCCTGGTATCATGACAGAATAGTAGTAGTTAGTAAATATTCTCTAGATATTTAATAAGCTCTTTAATTAGCTTATTATATTTAATTTACTTAATAATATATTATAATTTAGGTTTATTATAGCCTTAATAAATTTATTAGAAATTAAAGACTTTCTTAACTTTCTTATTTTTTAATTTTTCTACTTTAATAAGTAATAGTAGATTAGAGTATTAATTAAGTAAAGAATTATTAATAATAGGGTAGAGTAAAAATATATTAAATATAGAATAGATTCTTATATTTTTAGATAATTTAAATTTATAAGTATATAGGCTAATAATTTTTTTAATATAATATAGCCTAAAATTTTTCTAATCTAATTTCTTCTATAGATAGAGTATTTAAATATTATAAGTATCTAACTAGATTTCTTATCCTATAATATAGTAATATATAGATTACTTTTAATAGTTAGCTTATACTTTATAATAGGCTTGAATAGATAGAATCTTAATATAAATAAACTTATAAATCTTATATATAATATTAGTAAATTTCTTAGTATTTTTCTTAATAAAGTAGATAATAGAGTAGCTTAATTTAAATTCTAATATTAAGTAAAATCTATAATTAGCTATAAATAATAATATTCTTATAGATTTAGAGTAGATAGAGTTAGTAATAAACTTAGTTATTAATAGCTATTTAAATTAATTATCTTATAGGTATAATATATATACTTATAAGTATTATTTTAAGATAGTATTAGTATATTTAGTTTAATTATTAATCTTAAAATAATAAGTAATAAATAATAAGTTATAAATCTTTAGGTAGGATATTAAGTATTTTTAGAAAGTAATAATAAATTAGATTCTATAATCTAATATAATTATTTTAGAGATACTATAAAGTTTCTAAATATATTTAAGATATAGATTAGCTACTTTTTTAGTATTAATTATCCTAGTATAAGGAAGGAAGTACTTTATCTTTATTAGATAATTAACTATAACTAGAATAGTATTATAGCTATTATTTAATAGTAAGTATATAATAAAGTCTATGCTTATATCTTGCTAGGCATGTTTAAAAATTAGTAGGGGCTTTAGTACTCCTTGCTTTACTTCTTAGAAAGGGGTAATTTAGTAATAGAAGTAATAATTCTAGACTTATTAGTTAATATATTTATAAATCCTAAATTAGAAATATTTATATAATATTAATTTATATATCTTAATTTTTTTAGAATATCTAGTAATAAGATTTTTATAATAGAATCTTAATATTTTAGCTTTTATTTTATTATAGTTAAGCATATAAAGTTAGTTTTAGTATCTTAAGTATAGACTAGTATATCTATAATTAGCTAGTATAATATTAGGGTATTTTAATAGACTATTTTTTAAGATATTTAGAATAGACTAGAGCTTCTTATCTTATAGATAAGCTTTATTAAATAGTAGTTATAATATTAGTAATAGGGAGATTAATTTATTAGTAGTAGGTTATTTAGTAAAGTATACTTAATATTAGCTATTAATATTTAGTTTTAGATTAGTAATAGTCTTAGGTAGTAAGTTTTTAGATTTTAGGATAGTCTAGCTCTAGTAAAGAAGTTATTTATCCCCTTTTTTAAGTAAGTTCTCTAACCTCCTAATTAATATATTAGGCTTAATACCTAATTTCTTAGGGCAGTAATATATTTAGAAGTTAAATCTTAATAAAAATTTAGACTAGCAGGCTTATTAATAATTTAGTAACTTAATTAATATAAAATACTCTAGGTTCTAGTAATCTATAATAATCTTTATAGATAATAGAGTCCCTTCTAATTTAGGATATTATTTTTTAAAGTATTAAATAATAATTAATAGTTCTTTATTATAAATCTTATAATTATATTCTATTATAGAATATTTCTTAGAGAAAAATATAATAAAATATAATATATTTTTATTATTATATTATAATAATATTTTAATAAATATATAATTAGAAGTATTAATTTCTAGAATTATATTTTTTAATTAATTAAAAGATTTTAGTATTAGGATATTTATAAAAGTAGCTTTTAATTATTTAAATATTTTTTAGTAAGTAAGTATTTAATTAAAATTAATATTTTTTTTAATTAGGTTAACTAATAGTCTAATAATTTTTAAAAAATTATAAATAAATTAGTAGTAAAAGTTTCTAAAACTAATAAAGGCTTGAATATTAATTAGATAGGTTAATATTTTTTATTTAATAATTATTTTTACTTTATTAAAGTCTATTTAGAAGCTATCTTTACCTATAATTAGTTCTAGAAACTTTATCTTGCGTATAAAGAATTTATATTTACTAAATTTAATATAAAGTTTTATTATTTATAGATATTCTAATACTTATTAGATATAATAAGTATATTTAATATAGATTTAGTTATAAATTAGAATATTATCTAGATATATAATATAAAAGATATCTAAATAATTATATAGAACTTTATTAATAAATCTCTAGAATAATACTAGGGCTCTAGTAAGCCTAAATAATATTATTAAGAATTTAAATAGACTTAATTAAGTTTAGAAGGTAGTAAGGTATTTTTATTCTTTTTTAATTTATAGATTATTAAAAGTAAAGATAATATTAATTTTTAAGAAATATCTTATTTTTTTTAGATTATTTAGTATCTCTTTTATTAGTAGTAGTAGGTAATAATCTTTTATAATAAGTATATTTAGGGCTTAGTAATCTATATAGAATTATAGGCCTTCTCTAGATTTCTTTATAAATAGGATAGGGAATATAATAGGAAAGAAATTAAAATAAATAAAATCTTTTTTTAAGTTTTCTTTAATTTATTTTTTTAAAATTTTTAGTTTATCTTAAGATATATTATATAGGCTTTTAAAAGATAAAGTTTTTCTAGATAATAGTTTAATATTATAATTATTAGATTAGTAGGGTAGTAGGTACTTAACCTCCTTTAGTAAGAATATATTATAGAACTTAGTAAATTTAGGGGGTAGTTATTTTTATAGTTTAGATTTAGTAATAATAATAAGATTTAGAGTAGCTTTAATATTAATAATAATAATAGTAAATATCTAGTATTTATAGCAGGTATATATAGTACAGGTAATAACTAAGACTCTAGTAATATCTTAATTCTTTAGAAGTTTAGGATAGGGATTAAGATATTAAAGAGAAGCTTTTAATAATATATTATATAATATTAAAATCTTTATAAATTTTAGAGATATATTATAGTACTTTTTATAATAAGAGCTTTTAAATAAAATAATATAATTAATAAATCTAATTTAGGGATTATAGATCTTTAATTAAGATAAGCTAAGAATAATAAAAAAGTATATAAATTAGGTTATAAAAAAAATAGTATTTTTTTTAGTATAGTTATAAATTTTTTAAGTTAAATAAATAAAATAAGTAATATAACTAGATTTTATTAAAATATTATTAAATCTTTTTAATAAGATAAGATTTCTTAATAATAATATCTCTAATTAATTATTTATAATCTAATTATAGTCTATAAAATATTTATTCTTAGCTCTAGAGTTAATTATAATAAAGATTAATAAAGTTTTATTAAAGATTTCTAGATTAATAAGTAGGATTATTAATTTAGATTAGTAATTTTTTTTCTTTACTATTATTCTAGCTATCATAGCCTTTAATAGGTAGAGAAAGTACTAGGGATATCCCTAATTATAACTTAGGTTAGGGATACTCTATTTTCTAATTTAGGGAATATAGGATATTTAGTAGGCAGGGTTCTAGTTAATAGGAGATATAGGTCTAGTTTAGTAATAGATATAAAGGTATAGCTAATTAATCTTTAGTTAGGGTATAGGTAGTTACCTACTAGATAGTTAGTACTACTATAATAGTAATATAGGCATTAGGTTTAATAATTAAGGTAATAAGTAATAGATAGGTCTATTAGGTCTTTAGTAGGAGTAGTAGTAATAATAAGATTAATAGGGATTATAAGAATTTAAGTAGTAGAAATTAGCTTTAAGATAGATTAGAAAGGCTAGGAATTCTTTATAGATAGGAATAAGATAGTATTTATATAATAATAGTAGTAATTTTCTAGATTTTATAAGTAATTAATAAAATTATAATATTATAATAAAGCCTTAAAATATATTAATATCTTTTAAAGTTCTTAATTAATAGCTTATTCTAGAATTATAAGTAAGATATTTTTATTTATATTTTTTTCTAATATAAGGTATTAGAATTTAGTAAAAAAGATACTAAATTTATAATAGATTTATTAAAAGTAAAATAAGTTAGTATAAGTATTAATTTCTAAATTTAGGTCTTTAAAAACTTTTTCTATAATTTCTAAAATCTTAATATAATTACTTAATTTATAGATTCTATTTTAGATATATAGTAAGATTTAGGTATATAAGATTTCTTTAAGGTAATTAATTATATAAGCTATTTTATTATTTAGGGTTAGAAAATAGTTAAGATTTATAGTTATTTTTTAATAAATTTAAAAAGTAAAATATCTTAAATTACTTTATTAATTATTAAATTTATTAGGGTTAAGAAGTTATTTAAAGGTTTAGGTAGTAGGAATAAATATAATAA